AGCATAAATAATTCATTTGCTGGTTTCTTTATTATTACGACAATAATAAAGAAATAAAAAAAAGAATTAAAGACTCTCTGAAAACTAGTCAGTTTTCAGTCACTTCTTCACATTTACTTTCTTTATAACAATTTCAATTTTACTTTTATTATGCATTACTAAAAGAATTTGCTACACACAAAGCAACTAAACGTCAAGATAAAAAGATGCTAGCGCCAATTTCATATACGTACTTACCAACAAAATCTCAAATCGTTTGTTTTTTTCACATGCTTATTTGCATCGCTTACAATGCTACATACATTGTTGATAGTGATGTTAATCGCGTGCATTTATGAAAAAAAATATTAAATTTTACTTTCATTTGAAATTCTGCATTATTTTTGTTTCTGTTTTGCTCTTTTATGACATTTTTATACCCTGCACTTCGTGAAGGGTATATTAACTTTGGTATGGAGTTTGTAACTACTTGAAGGAGTCATCTGCGGTATGGACATATATATATATTCTTGCTCAGCGTCAAATTCTGCGTCGATTTAGACATGTCCGTCTGTCCGTCCGTCCGTCCGTCCGTCCGTCCGTCCGTCCGTTCGTTCGTCCGATCGCACGATAACTCAAAAACGAATAATGCAATCGACACCAAACTTTCACAAGTTTTTTCTTTTGTGCCAAGGACGAGCCCTATTGTTATTGGACTAATTCGGACAACGGGTTCGGGTAGCTGCCATGCAACCCAAAGAGTTTATTTTAAATATTTTAAAAACTAATAAAGCTATAAATATAAAATTTTGTATACATGTGTCCAATTATATTCTACACATGCTCTAAAAATTATAATGGGATAGCTGCACCGGTTCGGGTGGCTGCCATGCAACTCCAACAGCAAATTTTTTATATTCGGAAAAATAATAAAGTCAGATTCATGAAACTCGGCAGTCGGATGTCCAATTATAGGTCAGACATGTCCATGAAGTTTCTATAGAATGATTTCAGAGGTTCGAGTAATTGCTACACAATAACGAAAGGTGCAGGGTATAATTCAATCGGTTTATACCGACTGAAACGTTTTTACTTGTTATGATTCACCTTTTCAGTTTTTTCTTATATTTTGGCGGTTGCTCTCAAGTAAATACAGAGTATGAGTATAATATGTTTTTATGAACTTTTCTATTGCACTATTGTGAATACGTGTGACATAGCGTTATTATAATAACCAGTTAGTGTACATTAGCAAACAATTATGTATTATGTGATGATAATACCAATGATGATGGCGATGATAATGATGTTGATGAAGATGATAAAAAATCTTTGAATCTTTGTTATGTCATTTTTGAGTTCATGCTCTTGAGAAAAACGCTGGAAATGTAGTGAGAGATTTTCAGACAAAAACAAAAGTGAAGAGCACGTGAAATAGACGATTTTTTTTTTAGTAGTAAAATCCTTAAGCACACAAAAAACGTGAACCTTCTTAGCTATTGAGCCTGTTGAACAATGATTTTCTATTTTTCATTTTAAAATTTACAATTTTTGTAATTTTATAACTTCTTAAAAGAAGATTGAATAAGGAAGTAGGATTAAATTTTTATTATGCAATATGGGGTTGTGCAATTTGGTACAGCTGCACGTAAACATGTTATATTAAATTTTTTGGTTCGATCAGGAATTGGTGGCATATTGATTGAAATAAACACAGAAGTAAATCCTCTTGAGTACTAAATTAAAAAAGCAGAAGCAATGATATGGGTCGCAACGAAATGCATTGTATTCCAAAAAGATATTTAATTAATGTGCTTAAGTACTTATATTATATCTTTCTGTTCTAAAATAATTGCGCTGAAACAAATAGTGAAAATGTTGCAAGATTGTCTAATATAATATCTCTATAAATATAAAGCTTACCTTTGCTTCCAAATTCTTGACAATATTGCTCATAGGATAAAAAAGATGAAATAAAAGAAAAAAAAAGTATCAGAAACCCTGTGTGCCCCAATGGTTGATAATTGCGTAAAACTCAAAGGTTGATATTCATATTTTTAAAGGGAATTCAACAATGCAGTACAATTCTCAGAGGCGAATGTAAAATTTACAATCTTGAACATAAAAACAAATTAGCAAATCAAATTCTAAATTGAGAACAAAGATTAACTAAATGTTTTGATTACAAAATTTAAGTTTTAGATTCCCGTTCGAATGTCATCTATATAATATGTCACGTAAACTTCAAAAATGTTTTTATAGTTCATTTTAATTATTTTAAATTATTTTTTAATATTTGATGAAAATATTCACTTTTAATATTTTTTAATTAATTGTTCACCATAAATTTTTTAATAAATACAAAATTTTACTGCCCCTAAAATTAGACATATTTCAGTAAATTACATTAAAATGTTAGTAATATAATTGCTGTGAGTTTTCACTATCTTCATTTTCATAATAAAATCGCTGTTGGTAAAACATTAGAAGTAACAAATGTTATTATTTTTCATTTCTAATATTCAAAAATTCCTATATTCATTATCGAATCTTCATTCCCAGGAAATTAGTCTAAGTGTGTCATTCATCTTTAGTGCAAGTTCAGTATAAAGTACGGCGGCTTGTATTGATAAACTTTTGTTGCATCGTTCTTCGCAGTTTTCTTCAATAACCAAACAATTAAGAAATACCTATTAATAAAAAAAAGCACAAATTTGTCAAATTAAATTAATTAAGAGTTTATCAAATGTGAAAACTTTTACCAACAGTAGCTTGTGAATCAATTTCTAAAATTATAAGAAATATATAAAAATTTAAAATTGAAAATTAAGAACATATCTATAAAAACTTCATTATTCGACACATCATATTAAATTTCAGTTCCGATAAGTAAATAATATAAGTTCAAAAGCTACCTACTATTTTAATTTTCCGATTTTTCACATTAGTTTTTCGTTTTATAAGCATTTATACAACGCTATTAATAAAAAGAAAAGGTTGTATGTAATTTCAATTAAATTCACCGTAATATTTAATTACATTTCCTAGTATAATATTCATAGTTTTCCTTTTTGTTGTTTTCTTAAAAATCTTCACTATATAATCGGAAACTTTATCTACACAATATTATATTGGGTACATACATAAGATTAGTTTTCCACCCATATTTTTCTTTAGGCTTTTTTCATTTTATATTTTATGCTACGAGTGTAATGTTATAATATGTACATACATTATGTAGATATTATACTCAAGATATTCGTGTATAGTCATCTTTTATCCGTGCAAGATAAATTTTTCCTTTTGATATAAAAAATAATTCATCTATTCAATTCTTTTTAAAAATTATCAGAGTTTTAAGAGAAAATGAAAGTAAAATTATTTTCCGCCTAGGTGGATTTTAATATAATAAGCGTACGTTTGTGTAAATATTGTATCTAAACTTAAACGTGTATAACACATGCAAAATGTTATATAATGAATACACTTGATAAACTTTAAATTTCAGACTGAAAAATTGTAATTATAAACATAATTATTGTATATGTGTAGGTACTCATAAATTTTGTAAATCAACGCCTTGAAATCTCAGAAAGCTTATTATGTATTAAAATTCATTATTCGCTAAAATTATGTAATTTCAAAATAGTTCTGTATTGCAATTAAAACTGACTGGCTTTAAAAAATAATAGTAATAAAATTCCTTTTTAAGGGTCATTAAATAAAAAAAATTTTAAAATTTCTGTAAAGGTTTTTTTTTCTCAAAAATAATTTTTTTATTACATTTTTAACAGTTTTTGTTTTTGTATATGTGTATGTATATATTTACAAAGAAATGCAATTGGCTTATTGATAACTTAAAAATTACGAAAAAAAATTTTTTTTTCCTTATTTTATTATTAAAATATTTTGTTTATTTTATTTAAAAAAATTAAATTTGATCACTAATTTGATGCTATAAAAAATTTTGTATTATGAATATTAAAATATTTTGAATAAGCAATTGAAAGTATTCTATATATTATTGAAGATAAATTGGAAGAACGTGGTACTGATGTTACTGGCACTGTTAAGTAGAAAACTCAAAATCGATTTAGGGTTAGGTCGTCTATCTCGCTATTTTACTTGGCAAACAAGAAGAAAGTGAGTAACTATCATCTATTTGTATAATTTAATTTTCAAGTGAGAAGAATTTATTCGGTATTGTATATCTCGTTTTTTTCTAAAATTTATTTAATATTTATTCACTATGTTTTTGACGTTCACACGATAATTTGAGAAAAAGTGAGTATAAAATTGACACACGCGATTAGAATCTTAATTTCGAAAATAATTTTCGAAAAAATTTTGAAAATAATTGCAATTTTTCCTACCATTTCTACTTTTCTAAGTAATACTTCTAGTTCCTAAAAAGTGGATACGTTTCTCACTCTTCTTTCAGATAATTTTAGAACCAACTTAAATAACATCAAGTGAATACTGAATTAGTTAAAAAAGTATTCAAATATTCTATTTAAAAATTATTCTTTTATTAGAAATCAGAATTTTACTGTCGAATATTTAAAATCGTGGAGCTCAGCGAGCCAATTATTTTGCATTTAAGAGAAAAATGAAAATGTTCCAATCCCGACTAATATTCAAACTTAATTTAAAGTTGTATGAAAAAACCAAAGGCGAGTCAAAAAAAAAAATATTAATTTTCATTAACATTTTCTTTAGAGGCGTAAAATTGTAGTTTATTTGAACATTAAGTATATGATGAGTATATTTTATATGATATTCTCCGACTTATTTCACTGCTTTATTATATACATAAAAGGGCTATACTTTCATTTTTATTTAAACTGAATTAATTATTGTTTTCCTACTTAATGTTTTCCAAACGAGTGATTAAAAATTAAAACAAAAAAAAAAATTTCCAACGCGTAAATAAGAAGCGAAGCATTTTTACTTCGTATACCCATATTAGTCTATAATTTTTGGGAAGTAATATTAAATACCAGGTGTTTTTGATGTATAAAGGTTACTTAAAACGACAGTATAGCAACATAACTAGGGACTAGTAATTTCAATGGAATTTTCTTCTATACATATGGATGGATGGTGCAACTTTTCATATTATTATTTATTTACTTTTTAAATGGTCATTCGAAATTTGGAAATTTTGCTGTTATTGATTATTATGTGTGAGTCTAAGATCTTGAACTTAATAGTTTAGTATAGTAACTTGAAATTTCTTTTCTACTCACTATTTCCTTGGTAGAACAAAGGTAGTTAAAAATCTTGCTTCAGTTTTTGGAATTTCCATTTCTTATTCAAATTTTTCTATACTTTAAAAATTGAAATTGCACTTGATTCTATTACTTGAATTGCACTGCAACAAATAGATCATCTTATAAAGAATCGCAGTCTCTTAGTGGCGAAGTTAAACTTTAATTTACTCAACTAAAATATCTTAAGATTCATTAACATAATGTTGTGATCAAATATAATTTTTTTAAATAACAACATGACTAAAAACCGAGAAACATATACGCGCGTATATTATTGTATATATATTATGAATAAATTCGTAACATTATATTATTAAAGCTGTATATAAAAATATATGATATACACTTAAAAATACTTTATTTTAAAGAATGAATGAAATGACTATGTACAAAAAAATGGAAACTCACAAAATTAATAGAAGAGTACAACTTTTACATAACATTTTAGCTTAGTCCATGGTCCGTTCGCCATTTAAATACCTGGAATGCTTACTACATTATGTGAGAAGAGCTCCACAATCTCGAAAATGTTATTTATTCTATTATCTTCAGTACTAGTAAGAAAGAATTAAGTCTTATATTTTTTATTATTTTTTGAACCCTTTATATCTTCTTATTAACTTTGTGGTTTACTTTCGTCTTCATTTGTTATATGTGGTACCTAACTTGCTTTTATATTCTATTCCGGATTATATAAAATGTACAACAATTAATCCCATCCATGACTATTTGGCACCCAAACCTTTTCCCATATTGGTTTCCATACTTTTTTCCACGCAGGTACTTTAACTTCTTTCCAAATAGGTGCTTGATATGATTTCCATTCATCTTTCCATATTAATTTTTTGTCGGTTGCCCACACTTTCTTCTTTTCAATTCGCCATATTTGTTGTTTTTCTTCAACCCATTTTTCTCTTTTTTCTTTAATCCAAATTTGTTTTTTAATTGGTTTCCACACTTGTATCCATTCATCTTTCCATTCTAGTTTCTTTTCTTGTTTCCATTCTTGTTTCTTTTCGGTTTTCCATTCTTGTTTTTTTTCGGTTTTCCATTCTTGAACTTTTTTCGTAATCCATTCCTGCTTCTTTTCGGTACGCCATTCTTGTTTTTTTTCTGTACGCCATTCTTGTTTTTTTTCGGTTTTCCATTCTTCAACTTTTTTGGTAACCCATTCTTGTTTTTTCTCGGTTTTCCATTCTTGTTTCTTTTCTTTTCGCCATATTTTTTTCCATACTGGTTTCCAAATTAATTTTTTACGCCACAAATCATGACTTGTATATTCCCAACCTTCATGATCTTTCCCTAAATACTTTTCACCTGGTATTCCCATTTTAACCCATTCTGGTACCCAAATTTTTTTCCAGTCTGGTACTTCAACTTCCTTCCATACTGGCACTTGAATATCTTTCCATATAGGTACTTGTATTTCTTTCCAGACTGGTACCTTAATTTCTTTCCAATATGGTACTTGAATTTCTTTCCAATATGGTACTTGAATTTCTTTCCATATTGGTACTTGGATTTCTTTCCAAACTGGCACTTGAATATCTTTCCATACTGGAACTTGAATTTCTTTCCATACGGGAACGTCAATTAATTTCCAAACTGGTTTAGTAATTTTTTTCCATACTTGAACTTTATCTTCCTTCCATGCTGGAACTTCACGTTCTTCAATTAATGGCTTTTTAACAATTTTCCAGTCTGGAACTTTTTCTTCCTTCCAAACTGGAATTTGTATTTCTTTCCATACAGGAACTTGAACTTTTTTCCATTTTGTTTCCCATGCTTCCTTTTTAACAGTCTTCCATATTTGCACCCAATCTTCTTTCCAAACAAGTTTTTTTTTCCACACTCCTTCTGGTGGATGAGCGAAAACGGAGAATGTTAGAAAACACAGGAGCGTTATCTGGAAATAAAAATATGTGATATATTATTAAAACTTGGGAAATAGATTTCAATTATATTACAACAATAAGTCGCAAATGCTTAGCAAAAGCAAGCCTGTAAAGTTTGCCAAATTCATATTAATACAAGAAAAACCGTATAAAAAATTTAATGCTTTATTCTTAGCTTTATTACTGCCTTCGATGAAATTTAGTATAAATTCCGATTCCAAATTTTTTAAAATTACAAATATTTGCTTATATTTTTGATATTTTGGTTGTTTTCTGAAAGACTCAAAGCACTAGTTTAGATTTTCTGTTAAGAGGCACGAGGATTACATAGGTTTATTCGATCATATTTTATTACAAATTAAAAATTAATTCTCTTCCGAATCTTTTTTACTTTTTTCCTTTAACTGTTTTATTTTTTTGATTCCAAAATTTCGCCGCCAATCTGGAGAACTATTATTAATGAATTAAATAAATTTACAAATATTTCTTTATCTCATATATAAAATTTATATTAGAATTGGCAACTATGTATAAAAGTCGTAAAAAATATGTTTCTGTTTTGTTTGTTTGGTATATCTATACGCATTATACTCTATTTAAGATCAAAATTTGCATAGTTGCATATTCGAATTACGTACGAAATTATTTTATTCTCTGTTGATGCTCCAGATTCGATCATCAGAATCAAAACAATAAAAAGTATATAGACAAAACAGTTGGAAATGTTTATAAGAAAATGAATGGTTATCCAATTTCTCAATGGCCAAATATCTCAAAACTAATATTTTGATACTAACTTGTATTTGTGCTCATTATATGAACGTTAACTTTAAACAAAGAGCAACTTACGTTAATATGTTAATAAATTAAACATGAAATATTTTATTAGCAATAAGTGAATTAGGCTTGAACATTCAGGTCATCATATTCTTAATTTTGCATTAAGAATTTTTTTTGTTTTTATTCCACTTCGATCCTGGAAGAGCATACGGCTGATACAAAATATCGTAGATAAGTATGAATGTTATAAGTTTCGTACGTCATTGAATTTTTTTTAGTTTTTCTTTATGTTAAATATTTAAGATCATTGATATTTATTGTTTTATTCTATTACAACCTGCATAATGCTGAATATAATTTTTATAGTGTCCTGACCAGATTTTGAACCCTAAACCCGCTTCAGTTAAAGGGCGAGTGTAATAGCCACTGCATGATTGGCCAGGTCAGAATTAGGAATGTAATATTGTTTTGAAAAGTAGCAACAGGTTCCAATAGCAAATACTTTGAAAAAATTTCATATTTTAATAAAAATCACTATCATTAAAGTGAATAATAATTGCCATTTTGCCATAAATTACTGCTCATATATCGTTTTTTTTTTCGTTTGAGTTGTTTAATTCAAAATCATTGGTCAGAACTCATATAATAATTATCCACTTAGAGGAAGTTATTTAAACTATTTATCATCAAATTATTATCTGATATAGAAAATAAACATTTAAAACTAATTTAAAATAAAATTTTCCATGAAATTAAAAATTATTAATCCTTGAAAACTTACAGAAATTTTCAATTCTTTGTTGACTACATTTTAATATTTTAATCATAACCATAAAATTAATTATTCCATGTGAAAATCTGTCATACTTGATCTTGTGTCTTATTGTTTTATAAAATTATAATCGTAATTGCATTTTGAATGCAACATAATTTTGCAACATGAATTGAGAACGATAGAATATTATTTTTATTTCTATAATATTTAATTAAACATTTCCAGGAAACTGAGTATTAGATAATTATTTTGATAAGAATTAATCATATTTTTGTAAAATAATATTTTTTAGAATTGAACGTAATTACAATTTAATTAATATTCGGAATCAATTATTTTATTAGCGGCTAAAATAAAGATTGAATTATTGTTAATTTAGTTATGTAATTTACATAATAATTCTTTGCTTGTATAAATTGAAATCGGAATAAGATTTGTTTCAAAAATCTATTGTAATTTTGCGAAAGGATCTTTTGAATTTTACATAAAAATGATAATTTATTACAGTCTACATAATGGATGCTTTTAAGTTTTTCATTTAGTATTCAAAATACCGAAACAGAATTGTTACTAAGAGTATCCATAGTTTTAGTATTCATAAACAACAGTATGTATGGTTATCTATGAGTAACATCCAAAAAATAAAAAAAAAAATTAAATAACTTTCACTTACTCAAAATGAAGATTGCAATAAAAATTATTTTCGTGTAGTTTAAAAGGTGCTTGTCTTTTATTTTTGTTAATTTTTTTTTTGGAGAGCAAGTAAGAAATGCTATAAAAATATTATATTTCAGTATACGAGTATGTACACAATTTATACTTATATGCCAAATATTTTGGCTATAAATGTATGTGCTTTAAGTCTGCTTTTATATCCGTAATTTACATATTATGTAGCAAGTTATTATCCAATATACTATTTTAAAAATTATGTTCCTATACTTATTTTTAATCAAGTAGGTGAGGTTTTAACAGCAGTTTAATTATTAAGCGTATTACATTTCTTTAATTACAGTATAATAATTGGAGTTGATTACGATAATGATGCTCGTTGGTTTAATATTAACTTTGCAAATTATTGCTTTTTCATATAAATTGATGCGTTAATATTCCTCATTTCCATTATGGACTTAAAAATTTTAAGGGTCAATGTTTTATTTGCATGTATAGAAACAAACAAACAAAAAGAAATAAGAGCGTAAATTAGATTGTGAAGTCTATTTTATCTATGTGATGTGTGCAAATTTTAAATGGCAAGATAATTGGGTAATAATATGTTCAGACAAAAAATAAATATTACCAAAGATTTTCAAATTAAATAAGTTATTAAAATTTCATTACGATATTAAAGGATTTTAAATTTCTTTAGGGTATTTAATTTAAATTGAAGTTTAAAAGCGGATAAAAAATTACGCGGACCGAAAAAACTTGATCACAAAAAATTCAAACCAACTTGCTTTTGATTTTTATTTTTATGCTTTTCCTTTCTTTTGTATTACATAATTATAACCTGAATATTACAGATGCAAGGAATTGCATAATATTTAAAATTAATTCTAATGAAAGCAAGATAAAAAAATTTCATAGGAAAAAAAAACTCTAAACATTAGTTTGGTCAAATTTATTGTCATTTAATCGTGGTACTCCTCGTTAAATGTGCAACGAGATTACCAAAGATCCGGCACGCGGTATTCATTTGAATCAGCTTTCTTCTTAAGGCGGACTTAGATCTTCGTTGAGAAGTAACGGAATGGTGTCACCGTTGAAAAATTACGGCTCCATTATGCTTAAAATGGATAGAAACCGAATGCGTGTCATTGCAATTTTATAATAAATCTTCACTGATGAAATGACACGCAATGAAATGCCTTCTGATCAAGAAAAAGAACAAGTAGTAAAACACGATTTGAAATAAATCGATTGTTAGCTGTTCCGAAAAGTATTTAAATTTGAAACTTCCCGATAGTCTCTAAGTTTTGCACTATTCACATTTTGTAACCTTTGTTCCTTCTGGATTCATTAACTTTGTTTTTTAAGTCTGGCTTCGTGAATCGCAGTCGCTCTAGAATTTTTAAAAAAGTGTTTTCTAAAGAAGTCTTTTAATTAAGCATAAAATTTAGTGATCCTGGTTTCGTGATGAAGTAAAAAAATCCGCTTATGTTCTACAGATGTTTTTGCTTTATTTTAGCATATCAGAATAATCTCTGAGTCAAAAGTAAATTGAAACAATAATTCTCACCGGAATAAACCGGAATAAAGTGACCAAACTCAAGGCAAACACTTTTATAATTTCGTTCTGTTTATAATTCGTAATTGAGTATATGTACTGTTAATTTACAAGAACAGTAAAAGATTTCCGTTTGTTTGTAAGTAACAACTCTTAGCTATTATATGGTATACTTAGTTTTGTATTAAGATACATTTAAAAGGTACATTTACACGAATAAATTAAAAAAATTAACACACAGGTCGTATGAATTGAAAACAAAGCACTATTTCAAAGATCATTATCAAAATTTTCTTATAACCTTTCTTTATTATATTATTATTAAAAAGCTCAGTTTGATGAACCTTGGTTGTAAGTTTTTGATCATAACAAACAATAATGTATACATATATTTATGTAGATTTTTGTGATCAATTGAAATTCTTGCTTTTTTAAGTAAATCAATTTACAAATTAATTGTATGCTAAAACAATTTATTTGTATCTTCTGTATAACCGCAGCTGCTTAGCACAGATTTAGCTAATGCTCAATTTTATTGCTTATTCCAGATTTATCTGATAATTAATTCTACTTACTGCGAATAAACGAATACTGCGGAGAAATAGAATTTCTTTATTAATTGAATACAATTAAGAAAATGTTTAAACAGTTGGCTAAAGAAGCTACAAACAGGTGACAAAATTATTTTGATCTAAGGGCTCTTCTTTTGAAAAGAAGAACCCTTAGATTGTTATATTGTTCTAAAACAAAAATCAAAACTTTGTTTTAGAACAATATAACAAATTTAAATGTATCTGTTCTTCCAAATCATAAAGATCATGGGTGTGATTATTAATTTTGTTTAGCTCACTTATGCTTTATTTTAATCGAGTTCTAATCATAATTATCACAGAAAATCAATATGAAAATCCATTGTCATTAAACAATTCAAAGATCTGTGTTTTTTACAAAGATCATTACCCTCATGTGTTCGGTCACTGTGTTCAATAAAAAATTTTATTAGTAATTTTTAAATACACTATTATGCATTTAATATTATGCAAATTGAATTACATTTTACTTTTAATTATATTATTAAGGCATAATATGTAGTCTACACTCTATTACACACTAAATTTTGAATCGTGTTTATCTAAGCCCATAATTTAGCTGAACTAAATTTTCAGATCATTAACTACTGATTTTCTTCGTATATTGTTTTAAGGTAATCAATAATGATTGTGTTTGAGGGAAGCAACTATATAACATGTTGCATTTCATCAATACAAAAAATTTAAATTTGATGTTAATAAATTCATAAAAATCAATATGAACTCAAATTTTAAACAAACTAATAATTGCACTGTTAATAATTTTAAATATCAAGTCGATTGAATAGTTTTTTAATAACAATATACTTAGGAATTTAATTGAATTTTAGAAATTTATTAAAGTTCACGTGCTTATTAATAATTAAATTGAAAAAATTAAATTTTTTAAAATAATTTTTAAATAATGAATGTGAAAATTTATTCTAGTTTCAGAGATGCTATAAATATTAAAAATCAAATTATTTATTCATTATCCAAATTAAATATTCTCCATTTGATGTTATTGAATTCAATTAATTAATTATGTTAAGAATATTAATAGACCTAAAAGTATTCAATATTATTATGAGATTAAGAATTAAAAAGTCTATATTATTTCGAATTTTTTTCTGCATTTTCAACATTTTAATTGTTTTATTTTAAAAAATTTGAATTTCATTTTAATTTTACAAATTTTAATGTTATGCAAGTTTAAATTATTTTTAATTATTCAATAAAATTATCATGAAACTTTTTAATAAATTGTTATTATTTTTTGCATATTTTATTTAAAAACTGATTTTTATTCACTCTTAATTAATTTTAATTTTTGCTTTAATTATTTTTTTATTTTAGAATTTTTATTGTAATCCACATTTTAAGGATATTTGACAGCTTTCACTTATGTAATCCATATTTATGTTAATATAGGTAGTAATCCTTTCTGTGTTGTTATTGGAACACTCATGTTATTTAATAATCCTGTAAATTCTAATTTCTAAATATAATTATAATATAGATTCACTAACCAATAGCGTAAGGGATTTCATTTTTTTTATCCCTAAATCGCGTTTAATTTACACACACACACACAAACTTTAGATATCTAGTAAAATTTGTATGTTCGTTTCTTTTTTTGTATTTATATATTTTTTAGATATTTTTTAAATTTTTCTATGACCACCAACTAGGGGTCTTTTAATTGAACTGTTTAAGATGCGTCTATAGTACCCTTATTTATATTTACCGAAATAATGAAAACAAAAGAAAAATATCACATTTATTTTCAATTTAAGATTTTTGTTTTTTTCTTATCTACTTATTTTCTTTTTTCTTTAAACTTAAATTACAAGGTAAGTTTTCCATAATGTACACACTACCTAAAGCTTTCTTGATTTTTCTTAAAATATAAAAAATACACAGATAATAAGTTGAAACAACTACAAAAAAGCTTAAAATAGTAAAGAGAAAACGTAAAGTAGAAACAATTATTATCGTGCTTGGTAGCCATATCAATGCGCAAAAGATTTCATCCCTTCTTTTTGTTTGATTAAAATCAAGATCAAAGCTTAAAATTATAAATTTGAAATTATTTGCAATTCAGCAGCTTTTAAATCTCTTAAAATTGTGTGAGCTTCTCTTAAACTTGAAATAAAAAATTTAATTAGGTGAAGAATGAGCAGAGCAAAACAAAATAATAAAAATAATATGAAATTACTTGCAATGTTGTCTTTGTAAGAAAAAAAAACAGGTCATCGTCGTAAAAGCAATAATGACATAACAAGAAATCGTAACAGTACTAATCGAGGTTTGAAAATGGTTTTCATTTTAATAAAATATTATATAACAAAAAATTAGAATAATAATATTATTATGGCATGACTACTAAATAACAAACACATTACAAGTAATAACAGATACATATTAGAAGGGATAGTTTTATTAGAGTTATCGAACGATAATATAATTTCTCAAAATTTCAAAATTAAAAATTTTTTTTCTGTTATTTGAGAAACCGCTATTTATTTAAAGTTTGTCTCGGCGATACGGCGATAACTGATAAGTTGATGCCACAGAAATAAAGTTTAATATTTTGATTGTTTTTACACTTAAGTATTTGATTTATTTGATAAACAAAAAACATTTGAAGGGATATTACATGCGTCATTCTTATTATTGAACATTCAGAATGAATTTCGTCGAACACAGCTGCATTCCCAGAACGTTATTAATGTTTTAAAATTATTCATTAATTTCCATGATTACTGAGCTGGTTGATGCTGTTTGTAACCAATTTTAGCAGCATTTTATCGTAAATTTTATTGTATTGCATAAAATTCTATAAGAAAGGTCTTTCTGTATTTAAGTCTTTCTAAAAAGGATTGTGTAAGTACAATAATAACAAAAGTAAGAGACACCTTTACATCATCTATGTAATATGACGTATTTTGAATCCCAATAGGGATTCTTTATATTCATACGAACATATGCTCCGAGGGTATTATAAATTTGCCTTACCATTTGTAACGCTAAGAAAATATTGGTCTGAGATATAGACATAAGTGTACGTTTTTCATTAGTATCGAATTCTTAGTCGATTTAATAATGTCCGTGCATGCGTCCGCCCATCACAGCGATAACTCAAAACCTAGTTGAGCTAAATTCACCAAATTTTCACAAATAATTTATGATAGTAAATGCCACAACCCTATTTAAATTAGATTTGATCGTGGTGGAAGTTCGGATGTGATTGCGGTGAAGAAGCTGTCTTACAACTTTAAAAATTATTTGGTATTACCTTAGAAATTATTGAAGCTATAACATATAAATTCACGAGAAGAATTTTATTATTAGGTCTCTTCATTTGTACAGGCATCACAGAGTCGATAGGATCAACTCTATACTTACTCTAGTTTTTTCTTTAATTTTATATTAACTTTTCCATTTATACTCATGTTATATGTTATGTTTATAATTATTTTAATAAACGAAGGGGAAAGTGCTAAAAATACTCCTTTCAGGAAAACCATTTTTATTAATTTTTTTATATAGAGTTTTTCATTTTGCATCATTTGCACCTTTCTATTACGTTTTCTTTGAAAGATTTTGAATACATGAGATTGTTAGCAAAGCAAGCAAACAATTTGCTGAATAAGATTTTAAGAGAGTTTAAAATTTTAAAGTAAAGGAACAATAACAAAAATGGAATAACTCACAAGAGTCTAATAAAAAAATCAAGCTTAAATGAAAATTTACAATTACAATCGTAAACGACCTTCATAACTTTCAGTGTTTAAAAATCAGAAAAAATGCAATAAAAATCACCTGAAAATGGCATTTTTTACATAATTGCTTAAAAGTCTTTTTTTTTTTTTAAATAATGTTTTTTTAATATTTCAGGTTCGAAAATATTCAAATTTTACAACTTTTTTAAAAATATTTATTATTGAATAATTAAGCAATGGGCAAATTAAATCGAAGGAAGATGCGTTATCAATATCTTAAGGTTTACCAATCCAATTAAATTTTTATTTTTCATCAGTTAATTAAGATTGTAAATGGATGGTGCGGCACTGATAATAAAATAATTGGTGTGTACAACTTTCATCTTTTATTATTTGAAACGAAGATTAAAAATATTTGCAAACATTTTGGCGGCATTTACTCTCTTTATAAATATTTTTTTTAATTTTTGTTTTTATATTCTTAAATGGTTATTTTTCACAATTCAATAAAATACTTTTTTAAATTAAAAATATCTTCCTATGTATGTAATTTATACATACATATTTCAATATTATTTTAATAAATTCTTTAATTTACGAAAATATTTCAGCTATTAATACTTGTAATTGATATTACGACGGCCATATTATATTATGCAAATGTCATGTTTAACATTCATATAGGAGGTTAACATTCATAACTTCTGTAAAATTTAATATGTTACTGACATTTTTTATAAAATGTTATTACCGTTATTGTCGTAATATTTTATAGAAAATGGAATTATGTTTGTGTAGGTCCTTGATTATAAATTTTATAAAATTTCTTATTGAATGGGTACTTGCATTTTATTGAATCAAGGTTTATAAGAGATTAAATGAATTGTGATAATTCTGCAAATTTAGTGACATCGTAAAATATTTATATAAAATTATTTTTAATAGTCTGTATGAAGAAAGTTACGTATTAAGAAATGACATACACCTGTAGGTTAACCATTTACAAAAAAAAACTGTGCTTTTACGTTTTAGGAAGAGTGCATGATATAAAACTATAAACTTAGTGTAATCAACAACCTAGTTAATTTCATGGTGTTTTAATAAATAGAATCTTTTCATGAGAAATAATGTTTACTCTTTACAAATTTTATATTTCATTTTTGGTTATAGAATAATTTATTTTTGTACATATATTTCACTTGCGTTACACTATGAAGGATGTCTGCTTGTTTTAAAGGGTGTAATGTATTGTGGATGGTGGTCGATAAGCCTCTTTGTGACCTAATGCTAGCCGTTTGCGTGAAGAGGTGCTCACTCTCTTTCTACTACTACTACTACTTTTTAGTGTTAAATGAATTTGAATTATTGTAAGTTTTAATAAGGATTTATTTCATCAATCTAAAGGACCATGCTATTGCTATTGATTGGTAGTTAAAATCAGAAATTACAACAAATTTATTTTTTAATACGTTTAATACGTTTCCATGCGGAAACATTATACACTCATTGCCTGTGTTGAAATTTTTAAATTGCATTATAAGTGTTCTCCTGCAGTTCTGCCGGTACAATAGTGTGAGTTATTACTCTCAAGAGATCCTCTTTAATTGCGTTTCACCACATAGTTCCTGGATCTCACTGATTTTGCATCCAGGCTTCTTCCGCCCCCTCTCGAAATTCTAATATTACATAAATTTCTAAATTTCGTTTTCACTTAAATAGTTTGACATAACAATATAACTGGAAAATTATAAATATTGAAATTGTATCAGCGTTCTACTTAATGTTATCCGCATTTTATTAGGTCAGTTACACCTTATGTATTTTCGTAACTAAAACCAATAAATTTTTAATCTGATGTAGTTAAAAGAATGTCATGCACATGCTTATACGTTTCTTGATATAATCTTTGGTATAGTGCTGTTTTTTTTTCATGCGCCGTAATACGTAATAATCTCGTTACCATAATCATATTAACAACAGATTTTCTTTTCTTTTTTTTTTCAACAATAAAAATACAGAATGAATTTTTATCCACCCACGCATTTTATTGCATTTGCAGTCACATAACAGTAAAAAAACAAAACAAATAATTTCTTCTTTACATGATTTTGTATTATCTTTCATTATTACAACAATCTCAATAACTCCCATTACAATTATCTTTTTAATAACATTATTATTAAATTTTAAAATTGGTATTTTTCATTACATTTAGTTAAAATATACTTTATAATCTTATGTGGAATTTGACAGCTATTCGTCAATTACAAATAATAAGATTAAAAAAAAAATATGAAAAATTAATCAACAAAAAATTAATTATTTGTCATCAAAATAATCTGAACTTTTCACAATATGCTTAAGGCACACTTTTAAAATTTTGTTCACTTACATAATATTTTTCTGCCTTTTTGTTTTCCCAATAATGAAATGCTGACTTTTTAAATATATTTTAATAACTATTATACTTAACAATTAATTTTAAATTTTTGTTTTTTCCTTACAGAGTGTAGTTTGGATATTGACCACGTAATATCATATTTGGATACAATTATTTTCGCATCTCACCACCATACTATACGTGGTTGGTTAGGGAAAGAAAAAAAAAATTTTTCTATTTCTTTCATTTTTGACATTCATAAGATAATAGACAATTAGGTAATGGTTAATCCTTAGATGACGAACTTTTTAAAAACATAATGAAAACTTAATTGATAACAAATACAAGAAAGTGCGAAATATTTTGTCGCTATTACGTTTTTCACTTTTTGATACCATTTTGTCACTTAAAACTTCAAAAAAAAAAAAATAATAACAATAAACTTATAACAAAAACAGCAATGACATTTTTAAATGATTACAAGTTTATATACCTATGTATATAATTATTATTGTTGTGAATATTAAATCAGAAAAAATCTATTAAATTTTACTTGAACAATACGAAATGGAATTTTATATATACTTTCG